CAGCTGCACTCAGCTCGTGAGGCGGAGCGCCGCGAGGCTTGCCAAGGCGAAGCCCGCTGCCCAGTCCAATGCCTGGCAGACGAAGCCGGTGAACCCGCCCACCAACGGAACCTCCCAGGCGGCCCCTGTCCCCGCCCCGAACCCCAAGGTGGATCTGCTGGACACGTTTGAGCCCACCGCATCGACTTCGAGCAAGGAATGGGACCAGGGCCTCCCCTCGGAGGAGGAGCAGATGCGCATTCTTGGAGCGAACGGTGGTGACCAGTGGACCACGGTCTCCAGCAAGAAGATCAAGAAGAAGGGTGGCAAGGCGGACGAGAGCGAGGCGAGCGCCCCCGAGACTCAGCCTGAGCCCGTAGCCCCGGCCCCGGTGGAGCCCAAGGTGAAGGTGACTCCCACCTATCTTCCCGATGCCCTTCGTTCTGGCAAGAAGGGCCACCCTCTTGACTCGGACTGGGCTGCTTGAACGAACCCCCCGACTTTGGTCTTCTTCGAATGAAAGGAACCTGTCCAAGGGAGCACGCCCTTCACCGGCTTCGAGGCTCTCCCTTGACCTTGAACCTGTACTTATTACTACCCATGGCTTTGGCGTTCGGGGATCGATTTACATATACCAAAAAGCCTCCATATTCCTGGAAGGCGATTTGCTTCTTGCTGCCGATTCAGCGAAGGACCCCAATCAACGACGGAAAAAGTCAAGAAAAAAGCCCAATCCAAAAGGAAATATCCAAAAAAAAAAAAAAATTCTCTCATGTGTTTTCACTATTTTCTCTTTATTTATTCTATAACATATTTGTGGATTCGAATGGTGATGAAAAGGAAAGGAGAAGGGTTTGGCGGATGGGCTCCGATACACTGACTGGACGGGGGAATTCCCATGGACTGGCGACTACTGATGATGACTCTGCAAGGACTTGGGATGCACAGGTAGATGCAGGGGAGATCTACGGTGATTTGTCTGACCAGAGAGGACACTTGGCCTTTTTTTTATGTCTGTTCATCCTTCTTCTCTGTATGCTTGTTTTCTTCGTGTGTTTCTTATATTATTATTATTATTATTGACTCTTTGGGAGGGGCTTTGTTACTTGATCAATAACTATTGACTACCTTTTGTGTTCTCCGTATGGACATTTGTTCTCGTAGCCCCTTTCATCTGAAGATTGGATACCTAGGATCGACGTAGCCCTCCACCGGAGGTACCTCTTATCCCACCGTCATATGCGTAGGGCGCAAGTACCGCCGATGCAAAAGGAACTCTCGATCGGATCGTGACGTCGAGAGGCCGGGGAGGGCTTGGCGACCATGCCGGTTGGGGACTAGGGGCAGCGTTCCGGTTATCGTGGCCTGAACGCCTGAAGAAGTAGGCGGGCGGCGGAGTAAAGAGAGAGAGAGGGTCTACTTGTTATTGTTGTCCTTCCTCGTTTTTCTTCCTCCGTGCCCTCTTCTCTCTGCAACCTCCTCGCCTCTCAGTCCATTCCCTCATTCACCTCTTTCTTTCGATTCTCTTCTATTCTTCCAGCTCTCTTTTCTTTCCATTCTTATTGCCTCCCCTTCCCTCCTCGAAGCGGTCTCGGTGCAGCAGAAGGCTGGTGTTAAATAGTTAC